TTTTAGGGAAAAATCTTTTAATAAAACAATTAGCCAATTTGTTTAAAATTCAGTGAATTGGGTGAACTCTCTGCTTGCTTAATTTTACTTGTTACTTGACTTAAAGGTCAACCCAAGACTTTATCTGGCTGATCGATGTTGGTGAATGGCATCTATAATTTCCATGATCATTACAAGCTATTAATTTTTTTTTTTTTGCAGTTTTTGGCTGGGGCCGGATTTGAACCCCACCTCTGGTATATGGGGCCAGCGCCCCACTCCTTTGAGCCACAGGCACCGCCCTTCTTAATATTTTCTTATCTTAAACAAGAAACAACAAAACAACAAGGGCAGAAATTGTCTCACCCTGAAAAGGTCTGTATTTTTCAACTTAAGTCCAACCATTTATTAATAAAAAATTCATTTCTTCATCCAAGTATTTTTCCCGCCCAGCATTTCCTACATTCTAGGCACTGAGATAAGCCCAGTCAAAACAGGGTATTATTGGTTGTGAGATTTGATTCAAACAGATGCTGAAACCCCACATGAAGTGGAACAAATGGAGGTCGGGATATGAACAGGGATTGGAGAGAACCGTTGCCTGGGCACAGAGGGAATATAAATACTGGCACTATACTTTCATGCTCAGAATTAGCTAAATGAGTGAAAACGGTGGTAGAACGTTTTTCAAGACAAAAGATCAAAGATGTACTTTAACTTAATAGCATCTATGTTTTCTCATAAAGGTTTACTGAGAGTTAATTTCCTTGCAGTTTACACTTTCACTTAAGTCACAATTCTCAGTGAGGTCTGCCCTGTTATAAACTGAACACTCAGCCCTAGATGAGATGTAATAAATGTGCAATCATTCTCGGAAGCAATGTTTTAGCAAGTGCTTATTTCTGGTTTCAGCAAGCAACTCTCCTCCTCTGGCTTGAGCGCTGTATCCTAAACCCCTGTTTGAAAGCTGATTGGGTTCTGACATCATTTTCAACCGAATCACCAGTGTTGCTGCTACGAACACCTGGTGTTCCCTTGGCGTCCTTCCCACCCCAGTCTCAACTTGTCTCAGGCCAGCTTATCTCGGATATCTGCAGAAGCAGTGTGAGGTAGGGTGGTGGCAGGCTGCTTAACCGATTTGGCAAGTGTATATGGGAAAGCTGTTTGAAGTTTTGGTTGCCTTTAATGGATTTCTTTTAACCTCAGAAATTTATTGCCCTCCTGAGGGATGATCGTAAGTCATATTAAACTTGAGAATGGCCTAGACTCTTAAAGATAATCCCACCTGTTCTGAAACATCATCAAGTTATTTTTTTAATCTTACACCATAAAAGTAGGAAATTAATTATGAAGGTCCAGGTAGGACTAGTTTTGTCAACGTAAAAACATGAGCAAAGTGGAAGAGCTTATCTAACACGTTTGTATCATCCAGGGTGCATCACCTGGGAACGGAGAGATGAGCTCATCTCCCGCAATCCTTCACTCTCAAAGGAGAGGCTAGAAGCCCCCAGACATGAGGTGGCTTTCTGGATGCTGCATCTGGCCCGCGGCCTGGCACAGAGTAGATTCTCAACAAATACTTGTTCTAATTTTGCTTCTACTTTTCTCACTAGCCCTCCCCCACCCCCAACCTTCTAGGGCAACACTTTCCCAGAAGAATAGAGTAGCATGGATTTTTCTGGGGATGGGAGATTGCATGTCGCGTGCAGGGAGAGAGAGAGACATAAGTGATACCTGTTATCTTTTCCCTATTAGTAACACTTTTTAAAAAATGCTATTTTCTTGAATTGGGTGTATTTGTTAATTCTATTAAACTAATATGATCATGGAACTTCTCAGTCTAGCAGGATTTTAACAATAACGTTTAACCGTCACGACTGAATTAAACGGCAATTTAGAATATATAAATTGGATTTTATTAAATTAGAAGATTTTTATTTGTAATAAATTAAACTTAAGTCCATACATTTCATTTTTTCAGCTTTCGTGTTTTAGTGGAATTAATTTTTTTATTTGCGAACATCTAAATTATCTAAGTGCTGCATGTTTTAGAAAGAAATATATGCATGCATATTTTAAAAAGTCACATGGTCAAAAAAAAAAGTGCCGTGTAAAACTCTTATTTTTCCATGGTATTTTATAGTATAATAAGAACTTTGAACAATGAATCTGCAGATTCAGATCCATGATCCAGCTCAGGAATTTAATAATCTTATGATGTTGGAAAAGTCAGTTAGACTTTCTAGAATGATGTATTTTCAAGGCCATTGTAATAATACTAACAAGAATGAAGATCTTATTTTTAAACTTCAAGTTTATATACATTTAAAATTTATGTATTTTTCCTTATTATGCCTTGTGGAAAAAATAGTGAGTTTGGAGAAAATTGAAAATTGGCTTAAAACTCTAAATTGTTATAAAGAAAGTTATTCCCAAGTACTGTCCATTATAATAGGCACGATCTGGTAGGAAAAAAAAATCAGACAGGGTGGTGAGATCTCTGAAGGTCAATGTGGAAAGCTCATGATCTAGCTCTTCCATGGGAGCCCCTAAAAGTGAGTTTGGAAATTTCTGGCCTTAAACGAACAAGCTTAACATTTTATGTTCAAAATAGGAAATTAAAAATGTTCTTTGTATGCAAAAAGTGATAGACTGGCTCAGCACAGAGCCAGCCACATACACTGAGGCTGACTAGTACAAATCCAGCCAGGCCAGCTAAACAGCAATGACAACCTCAAATAGCTGGGTGTTGTGGTGGGCGCCTGTAGTCCCAGCTACTTGGGAGGCTGAGGCAAGAGAATAGCTTGAGCCCAAGAGTTAGAGGTTGCTGTGAGCTGTGATACAACAGCACTCTACCAAGGGCAATATAGTGAGACTCTGTCTCAAAAAAAAAAAAAAAGTGACAGATACTGATTCAATCGCTATCTTCTGAAAATTTACTTAAAACAAATTAACAGCCTAAAGATACTTAAATATGTTAAAATGATAATTTTTTTCAAACCAGGGCTGCACCTGTTAATTACACTGCTGAAACGTTTGAATTTCAACTTACCATTACTGCAACGTATTTCTTTATTTTCACTTAGAATTTGTGGAACTGCAGCTAAAAAAAGAAATATAATATTAAATTAAAAGCTATTAATCAAAATGTTAAATACATATTTAGTTAGGCAAACGTGAGATAATTTAATAAAACACATTTTATTACTTAACTTTTATTACATCTGTAAGCACTTCTAAGTAAAACTGAAAACTATAATAAAACAAATTATTTGATTCTAAGTTCAGAAGAATGAGTAGTTCGTAAATATTATGGGAAGAAACGAATGTTCCATTGCCATCCTTTGCTGAAAGGTGGAATATGGTTTCTTCTGGTTCTATTATGTAATCCTATCACTATAATATCCCAAACCATTAAAATTATAGAAATTCCACCCAGTTGTTCCACTAATATTTGTTCTAAGTTTCCAAACTTATTTGGACCTCTATTAATAAAGATTTATGGAATAAATGAATAAAAACACTCCAAGTACTTAAATCATTCATTTAAAAATAAACACAGAGGAGGAGAGAAGGGCAGGTGCTCGGCCCTCCTTCACCGGCCTCCTGACTTATTCTGTTGAATGAGTGATTCTCAGCTCTCAGAGAATGAGTGGTCTCAGAACCATCCCAGGGGCCTTATCCCTGGGGATTCTAGTTTAGTAGATCTGAATTTCCAGGTTTCCCAGGTGATGCTGTTGCTGCTAGATGTTGGGGGCTACACACGCTGAGAATTCTGGTATTTGACTAATATCTGATTGGTACTATTATAGGAAAACTTTGATCTTTTAAAAAATTTACAGACATATGGGTGGGTACTTCTTTCCATTTTTTTCTTCTTAAAATTAGAAACATTTTATGACCAAAAGCTTAGATATTCTTTAGAAGAGAAAATAGATCAAAAAGGGAAAATCAAAATAACCACTAATTTTCCTTGAGTGTAATGTCCTGCCAGCCAATAGCTATGCTGAGCAAGGTATCATAAACATCTTTCATGTCACAAATATTTCTCCATGACATAAGAATGGCTTGATAGCATTTTATGGGATGGCTATACCTTAATTCACATGGTCAGTCCACTTCTGCAGCCATACTAGTAGTTTCTAATTTTTATTTGTTAATAATTAATGTAATGAAATGTTTGTATACTACATACATCCTTATTTTCTTAAAATTAATATGTAGCAGTGAAATTTCTAGTCTGCAATAACTTTTAAAGCTTTTCTAATATGTCATTAAATGAGCCCTTAATAAAAGTTGTTCTAATTTAAACCACTTCCAGCTCTATGAGAATACGCATTCCCCTACACTCTCCTCACCTCTACTGTCTTCTGTTAACGTTTTATTTTATTTTTAATTGACACATAATCACTTTACGTATTTATGGGTACAATGTGATGTTTTGAAACATATACACATTATGTAATGATCAAATCTGAGTAATTAGCATATCCATCACCTCAAACATTTACCATTTCCTTCTGATGAGTTCAAAAGGAAGGCTTAACAAGAAGACAGGTTAAGGATAAGTAATAGAACACCAGAATTTATTCCTCCTATCTAACCATGACCAATCTCTGCCATTCCCCTCTTCCCTTATTTCCTTTTATCTTTTATATTTTCTATTTTATCAAATGGCACCCACCTTCCCCAACCTCTAGTAACCACTACTGGTAACCACTGTTCAACTTCTATGAGATCAACTTTTTTTTCTTTTTTAGTTTCTACGTGAGTGAAATCATGCAGTATTTGTCTTTCTGTGTCTGGATTATTCCATTTGACACAATATTTTCTAGGTTTATCCATGTTGAAAATGATAGTATTTCCTTCTTTCTGTGGCTGAACAGTATTCCACTGTGTATAGATACATTACATTGGCTTTTTTCATCCATCCACTGATGAGCACTTAGGCTGGTATCTTGGCCATTGTATGTAGTGCCGCACTTAACGGGGAGTCCAGACAGCTCTTTGACATCCTGATTTCATATTCTTTGGATCTATACCCAGTACTAGGACTGCTGGATGCCAGTTTTACTATCTTTAGGAAGAAAAATCTTTCAAAATTTAAGAGAAAATCACATTTCCTTATTTAATTTTCATTTTGCATTGCTGCTTGAAGCAAACATGTTGTATATAATTTTTTTGGCCAGGTAATATTTATTTTTATGTTGGAATAAGTGGGACTGTATCTTTTTACCTTTTTTATTTTCTATTGCATCAAACGGCACTTGTGGTTTTTCAATGTTCTCATCCTCTGTGAAAGAATTCCTGCAAATGCAATGCCAAGCAACTTTGGGTTAATAAAACAAACAAAATACATGGAAATTACACCTAACACATTATCTTTTCTTCTGTGTGGGCACAGTTATTTTGACAAACACAAAGAAACACTTTCTGGATTTCATTTGTCAAAACTGGCAATCCGGCCTCAAATGAGGTGCATGGAAAGCTCATCATCTCTAATCAGCAAAAGTACATTTGAAGAGAACCAGGACAAAAAGTCCAAAACTGAAGAATCTTGGATAGTCTGGGTCCAAAAGAAGTGATTCAAGAACCCACATTCTTATTGGAATCTGTCTGGCTAAAGTTACATAGTTCTGTAGCAAGAAGCCTTGGCAACTCTGGGCACAGCCTGAGAAGAAAATGCATTTAATTGAAGAAATATCAGTGTACGACACTGACAATGACCTATGTTTTGCCAAGGCTTCTATCCTTAAACTCCAATTAATAGTAGTGAATGGTAAGGATTGGTTGTATCCTGGTGGGTTCACCTCATTTTTTCTGTTATATAACTAAATGCTTGGCCAGATTACCCTTCAAATCCTGAAACTTGGGACCAAAATAATCTAACTTGCAGACAGAAAAATGTCTGGTTCTGATGATGGAGAATAGCAGGCATGATGCCCTGTCAACCCCTGACATGATTGCCCTGTGCTGGGACAAGTCTTCATTTTCATCCCTACAAAATGGTAATAAAAATACTTGTCCTACCTCAGAGGGGAGCTATAAGAATTAAATACAAGTTTCCTTGTTTAATAACACTTTATAAATATTTATTGTCCCAAATTTTTTCTGGGCACTAAGATAGAGAAGAGATGAATAAAGGCATATTCAATTTCTTCAAAATATAAACATAAAAATAAGAAATTAAGAAGAGCCAAGGAATTAAAAACATTGTCAATACTGGAAAATGTGATAATTTCATTTGCAGTTTTATTTTTAAAAATCTTTATTCCAGGGTGGTGCCTGTGGCTCATTGAGTAGGGCGCCGGCCCCATATACTGAGAATGGCTGGTTTTAACCCGGCCCCGGCCAAACTACAACAAAAAAATAGCCAGGCATTATCGTGGGCACCTGTAGTCCCAGCTACTTGGGAGGCTAAGGCAAGAGAATCTCTTAACCCCAGGAGTTGGAGGTTTCTGTGAGCTGTGACACCAAGGTACTCTACCAAGGAGGATAAAGTGAGACTCAAAAAACAAAAAAAAAAAAAAAAAAACTTTATTCCAGATGACTCTTACAAAACATACAACCCTAAAATGTATAGAAAGTGAATTTTGGAAACATTCCCATCTTAATGGGATGGGAGCTTTGTAGGTTAAAGCATCCTGCTGTGTTTTTCTATGTAATTCTGTGAATAAATTATTTGTTTCAAATCTAGGAAATCGAGGTGGATTTTCATGGAAAGCAACTCCTTAGAGCAAAGTACACATGCGACTTTATTTCCTAGAAAGTCAAAATCAGCACATGGTGCAGAAATAGTCATTTCAAGGTTCTCATTCTGCTGGGATTCGCAGTAATTCTGTGGAGAGTGCTGGATTTTGAACCTTGGGGCACAGACATGACTTAACCTACCACTGTCATGCTTTTCTGACTATCTCTGTCCTCACTTTATTGCCATCAGCAGAAGATCTTTATTTAAAAGGAACGGTGAAGTCACTGAACCCCACAGGTAGTGTAGGTATGTAAAACTGACGTTTTCTGTCTTATAAGGGTACATGTGAAACTTACTAAATGTAGGATATAAATGTTTTAACACGATAAATAAGAAAATGCCATGAAGGCTATGTTAACCAGCTTGATGAAAATATTTCAGATTGTATATAAACCCAGCACACTGTACCCCATGACTGCATTAATGTACACAGCGATGACTTAATAAAAAAAAAGAAAAGAAAAGAAAAGAAGTGGAGGTGACCACTGTGAAGGAAAGGCCAGTGATGACCTCCCCGTCTGCACGATGTCTTGGAGGAGAAGCAGAGAACTACGAAGAGAAGGCCTGGGGCTCCCGTCCCAGTTCGACTGCTGTTGGCTGTGCAACAGGAGCAAACAACTCATCCTCTCAGCATTTCAGTTTCCACATCTGGAGAAGCTGTACCATATGCCTCTTCCTTGCAATACAGCATGAATGAGAATTAAATGTACTCACTAGTTAATTTACAGAAATTAGAATGAAGTATTTTAAAAATGAGAATTAGCAATAAACTAATTGCTTCTTGACAAACACCTACAGTTTATTAGTCTTAGTGTTAAGTTAGACTTTCAGAACTTGTCTTGTTTTTCCTATAAAGGAAAAAAAAAAGACATTACCCCCACAATGGAAGCTAAAGTGATCTCCAAGTGGTATAGGAGCATGGAAGGGAAAGGATACTGATATCTACTGCCTACCTGAGCCACAGCATGCACTGCAGTCCTTCAGTTGGGATTTGTATGTGGTTTTTTGTTCGTTTTTTATTAAATCATAACTGCATACATTAATACATTTATGGGGTACAATGTACTGCTTTGACATATAATGCAGAATGCTTACATCTAACTGATTAGCATAACCCATACCTCACTTATTTGTTGTGGTAAGACGTTTATTCTCAATAGTTTTGAGATGTACCATTGCTTTATGCACTTTAGCTGAGGTCCCACCAAATATCCTCCCTCCGAACGGAACAAAAAGTGTCCGATGTACTCAATACAACACATTCCTGTGAATGGTAAAACAGTTGGGATTTTTGAATCCAATTCAAAAAAGTCCTGACTCTTTCTGCCTATACTCAATACTGACGATTTCTAAATTTTCCTAGAAGAAAAGAATTTATTCTTCTAAATTTAAGATCAATGGATTGCTTAACCTCACAGCACACATGGAGCTTGAGAACGCCTTGCTGGGGACAAACTTTCCGAAGCTTTAGTATCTCAAGGGAACGTCCTCAAAGTTAAAAACAATACTTGAATGGGTTCCTTGGAGAATCAGATTTGTTCTTCATCTGTCTCTAATAATGAATGAGACAGTTTGAGATTGAGCAAATGCAAAGTGGCTTTGAGTTATATTATTTCAAACTTATTTTTCAAACAAAAACAAAACCTTGTGCCAGGATTACTTATGTCCAGGGACTGAGTAACTAAGGTTAACTTCATAAAGTCAGGGCAATTACAGAGTTATAATCCTGGAAGATGTCCTAAGAATCCTTCAAATATATTTATATATGTTTACATTATACAAAGGGTTTCTTATGGAACTGTTTTCATCATCTCCTGAGACAAAAGGAAGTGAAGTAAAAATCCATAGAAGATAGAACTGACGCTATTTTTGAGAGAGGGCTAGGGACATACACGAATGGCAGGGCCGTTCAGCCGCTCATCTCCCTGGGAGGTCTAGGTTTCCCTCTGTTGTGCTGGCAGTAGAAAAGTTAAACGCTCCCTTAATTCCATCCATATAAAAGAGAAGCAGACAAAACCGTAGGTGCTGGCCCTTTTCACCAGCTGCTGGAGACCTTAGTGTATCCCTGGTCCCAGCTCCCTCTCACTCCCTCCCGCTACCTCTCTTTAGGATGGAGGTGAGGATAGGAAACTTTTGTCCCAGACAAACATTTTCCATAAGAAGAGGATTTTGATTTTTTTAAAGAAAAAAACCCTTTTAAAATAAAATAAAAAATTTGTGACAAAGAACACACATACACTTACACACACACACGAAGAGGGTGCCAAAAAATGTGTGCACATTTTAAGAAAGGAAAAAACTATATTACATTTGTAGTACTCAACTAACGTTTGACTTGAGCAATTACCAGAGACATAGATATAACATACAAGATAACACACATTCTCAGGATAGATTGAGTATTACAGATGTAATACATTTTCTTTTTTTAAAATGTGTATACATTTTTGGCACCCTCCAGGTGTGTGTGTGTGTGTATATATATATATATATATATAAATCTGTACCCGTTTTTCTTGGAAAAAAGAAACACCTCAAAAACTCTCCAAATAAATATTCGTAATGTACCAGGTTTCCACTCTGACTGATGGTTCATAAAACAAATCTCACCTAATTCTTTCTGTCTGACACTCCCACAATTCAAGGATATAGATTATAGAATAAAATAAGACTGAATCTTTTAATTTTCAGCATTACTTTATAGTGGAGTCAAGTCTCGTTGGTTTGAAAAACTGCTGGATATATTTTTGTTACGGAGCTGGAAGACCACTAGAATCATTATGGTTTCAATGCTTTAAAGACATTCATTTTCCAGAGCATGAAAATTTGGACGTACTTCTTTTTGTTGCTTTCTTTAATGTAGGCAAAGCCTTTTGAAATCAATCTTTAGACTACAGACTTTCTGAATTGCACAATTCAAATTTGTGGCTATCTTACCATTCCAATGGATGCAGCTGTGCCTTTTTATTCATGAGCTGAAATTGTTCAAATACATTTAGAAGAGACCAGTATTGGGTCAGGACTGAACCAGGTTTCCCCATCGGATTTTCCATGTCATAAAATTCATGCATCAAAGACTGAATCCCAGGAGTGGTAGATGGGAAGAGCTGAGAAGGAATATTCAAACACACGACATCAGCATAAGTTATGAAAAGAAAATTAAAATGACGTATTACTAAGAAAGAGTTCGTATTTAGTCAGATGTTTAAAATGTAAGATATTTATTGAAAACCTATTGCTCAGTACCATCATTTAATTTTCTGTGCAGCTGTCAAGGTAAATGCCACTTTTTATAAGGAACTAATTTGTTGATGATCACATTTCCAAATAAGGTGAGTTTTCTTTTCTTTTAATAGAAACTGATTTCTCCTTCCTGTTACAGATGCCTGAAAACAGCTAAATAACACAGTGAATCAGGCAGCGGTAAGAAGAAAAATCCTCTTCAGCTACTGAAAAATCTTGTGCCGGTGTGAGAAATACTAATCTCGCACACACGAAAATCTGTGGTTATCTTCTTGCTACCCTGAGAGTCAAGGAATTGGGGGTTTGCCTTTCCTCAGTAAAATAACTCTTTAGTTTTTCCTCAAATTAAGCTGAGAGAAGTTCTCTACACTCAGTATATTTTAAGTTGTGAAATTCCTGAAGGGTAAAGCCACACTTTGATTAAATTTCTCTAGTAATGAGTCAGACGGTTGTGAATGTGATACCTACTCTATTTAAATGTATTAAAATGAGGATGTGTCAATTAAATTTTCTTGGGGGAAATAAACTTATTTATTTTTTAACCCTTGAAGTGTGGAGTCAAATTACAAAAGCAAACATCAAACAGTCATTAATTGATTTAGTAAACTGGCTAAACTTCTATAAGTAGCATATGTATACACAGATTATATTAAAGTCGGAAAATGCTTGAGACAAATGTAAGATTAATAATAAAGTGTTAATGGGATTCTAAAAAATGCTATTGTGGAAAGATGTTTTCTATGAGAAAAACTCAGGTGGAAAATGAGTTCATTAGAACCTCTACACAAAGCAGAATGGTAAAGAAAGCAAGTACTGAGCATTCACATTCGTCTGCAATTAATCATCTTTTTGATATTAGCCAATAAATAAACAGAAGCCAAGAAAATACATGTTAGAAAAAACAAATGCCTTCTTCCAAAGTTAAATCAGTAACAGTTGTTATAATTACATTTTTCTTTGAAGTTTACTATAGAGTTATAACTAATTGAGATTTAAGTCGCTTTCTAAAATATTGTTATATTCAGACGTATTTGATTTGACACAAACAAAAAGTGTATATAATAAATAAATTTTAATTGATTAAAATAAATAAAAAAATAAATTTTCATTGCATGTAAATGTTCCAATGCTAAAGGAAAAATGTTTTTAGAGAAATGTTGTCATTTTTCCCCTGAAAATTTTCAAATCCTACCACCTATGCTATCCTGTATTCTTTGACCTTAAGTCATGTATTGTTTGCAAACTCTTAAAGCATATAGATTTTGTTCATCTTACTATTAGATCTCCAAAGATGAGGAAAGAAGTTAGCACAGATTTCTGTTTCTTAAATATCTTAGTGTGA